TCCCGGAGTCCATCAACATACCGCGTAAGTTGTCAGCGCCGCTGCTTGCAGGCGCCGGGTGTTCCGTGTTCCTCCTGGCTGGAATGCTCAGGTGGTGGTGACTGAGCAAAGAGGAACGCTGCTAAAAAGCCGCTGGCATGTAATGAGGCTGAACTGTTCTTCCAGAGGAGTTAGAAGTCCTGCGAACCTGTAAACCATGCAAACCTGTCTTTGGATGCAGAGTAAACAATAGCTTGTTTTCTGTATTTCCCAGTGGGTGAATTAGTAGAAGCTCTACAAATGGACCCAACGGAGTTCAAGGAACAGTATAATCAAAATATGCCATCCAAGTCAGACCCTGTGGTTTTCTTCTGTTTGGCAGGAACAAGAAGTAAACAAGCACTTGGTTTTGCCATGTCCTTGGGTTTCAGCAGGTATGACTTTGTGTGTAAGTATGGGATTAATGCTGCTTCCCCCCATGAAGCAGAACACATACTCATCTTGTGTGCAAGGGTAAAAATTATATGTGGAATATGAACAAAACAATTGGTATTTGAGTTAGACACCTCCTTTTGTCTCCAGTGAACCTGGAGATGCCATTGGGTGTTGCAGCAAAGTGAGGTGTACCACCCTGTAAAACAGCCCTTGAGCGGCTCTGCACATGTGCCACTGGTGACACAAACTGCTGCAAGACCACGCTGCCACTGAAGGGTCCTTCTGCCTCTCAGGGCTCCCTTGCTGAGATGTTTCTTCCTTAAAGAGCTCCATAAGCACTAGTCCTGAGATGCAGGAAGGTTGTAAAGGTGGAGAACTGCTTGCTTTGGTAGTAGTACAGTCTTAAATAATAGTTTGAGAAACCACACCCTTTGTTGAATTGCAGTTCCACGTTTACAGTTCACTGTTGACAGTGGCACTTCCTGTAAAGCTTTGGATTATTTTCCAGGAGGAAAGCAGTGAAGGCAATAGCTGACAAAACCATGAGATGATAGAGTGAAATGCAGCATTTGGTTTGCAGAGTTGTTAAACCTATCTTTGGAAGGTGCCTCACTGTCTTGAAGACTGCAGATAAAATTTAAGACATTGGTTATTTGCTCATGTTTTCACTGAACTGCAATTCAGGAACTGGAACATTCACACTAATTCTAGTCAAAAGTATGGAAGCATGTTCTTGTTTCAGAGTAAAAAAATACCCTCCATTACCTGTTTTTCATTATGCCCAATTGAAGGAGTCAATATTGTTTTGCATAGTGGATTTTTGTTTTACAGAGTTTAGTTTTGCACAGGTTGATGTCAGACCTATAGAGCATGTAGGTTTGCAAAGAAGTAAAGATCAGTGTGCAGGGTTTATTTGGTGACAAGTGAAGTATTAGACATAATAAATAGATGAAATAAATATCTCCCAGTGCTGTGAGTCTCTTCTCACTCTTTTAAAAAAGAACTGGCAACTGTTTCATTGATCCAGCTACTATTTCTTGCTTGATGTTTGAACTCCAACATTGTAATTTGGAAGAAAAGAGTTACAGAACTCACTGCATGGAAGCAGGCAGTCTTAGAGTAGAAGGAATGTCAGTCTGGCTCTTTGAAGCTAGGTACAAATGTATATGGTTGCAGAGAATTTCTGTGTTTTATCTTTATTTTAATCTATTGTAGGGGGTTTTGTTGATTTTTGGGGCTTGGGGTGTTTATTTTTTACTCTTGGTTTCAGGTTTGGTTTTTTGTTTGTTTTTTTTTTTTTTGCTGTGTCCTCTTTAAGAGACAATATTAAGGACTCTTCTTGAGAAAGGTATCTTCTGCATATTTTCAGAGTTCAGCAGTATGCTGGTGGCTTTGATGACTGGGTAAAACATGAACCTCCAGAAAAGAAATGAAGATGACAGCCCCACCCCTTACCCAATCAAGGCTTCAGGATGGTTTGGAGGTTTTAGTAAATCACATGCATTCTGCTTCCATAATAAAGCTCACTACTGGCTTCTTGTATGAATGGACATTCACCTTCAAACAGCCATGCATAGCAACTGCTTGGTTTAAATTATACCCAAAGACTATGGCACAAACACAGGACACTAAATTTGCTCAACCTTTCAACCTTTACTTTGGGTTATGGTTTTGGTGAATGCATGTGAAGAGAACCTAAGTGCAGATTATGTTTACTTTTTTGTATAATGTAGTTTATGACTGTTTAAACTAATGATGATAAGGCAAATAAAATTATTATTTCTCAAATACCTGTGTTGGGTAGTTGGTTTAGAATAGTCAAACTGCAGATATTCTAGTATCAAGGGGTCAGGGGGACAACAGAAACCTGCTGCTGGCTCTGTTGTGCCAGGCCTCACCAGGACTAACAGTGCCTTTTGAAGATCATTAAGGTCAGAGTGTATAGAGGATTTCATGATTTAGTTAAATGTATAATTCATCATGCTTAGCTGTATTGATAAGCCACCAAACTTCAGCATACAAATGAACAAAGCAAGGCACTCTAATCAACTTAGTACTTAGTCATGAGCAGCCAATGCTTCCTTTTGTAGTTAAATTAACATTTCTTAGGAACACCTAAAACTACATAACCACAAAAAATAAACAAGTTATTCTGTGTTACACCAAGATCTATCTAGCCCATTATTTTCTGTTTGGCAGCAATTGGTAATAAACATCTGAGGAAGAGCATAAAACAGGATTAGTATGTAGTGGTACAATCTCCAGATTACTCTCATTTACAACTCAGAGTGCTCCAGGCTTTGCATGTCTTACTATATTTGGGTACTTGTACATTTTCAACAGAAACTCCCATCAGACACAGCAGTGGTGAGAAATCTTTCCTTTTGTTGCTTCCCGACTTGCCATGTATTCATCAGCTGCTCTGGCTCCTTCTGTCAGAAGTGAGCAGTTGTCACCTATCAGTCTTCTCACCACCTCTGATTTTCTGGACCTATTGTCTTTTCTGAACTGAGTAGTTGCGGGTTGGTTTTTTTATAATTGGAAAATTACTGTATACCTCTTTTTTATTTTCCCTTTTTATTAATCATGGTAGTTTTCTTGCAAGATGTTTCTCAAACTATTTGTAGCTTTTGAAATTGGATGATCCTTTCTAATTTGCTTTCCAAATGATGGGGTTTGAGTTAAATACCTTGTCTGATCCAGTTTGTTTCCTTTGGGATTTTTCTTTAAGTCTTTTTGGCATAGATGGTTTGTGTTTGCTTTGACACTTCAGAGCCACCTGTTGCCATATAATCTGTGAAGAATTTCAGCTACCTGTCTTTCAGTGAGATACCACATTTTTATGCACCTCTCCTTTGATGTGAAGCACAAGAAAGGTGATTTTTTTTTTCTGCATGCTTAGTAGCAAGACTGTTGAATTCACATTATGTTCCATTTCCTGTTGTTCAAAACAACACCTTTTTAAAACTGTCCTCACTGAATCCAGCTCTTTTGACTGCACTTCATTGCCTTTCACTGTTTTTACTGGAATCAAAGCTGGTAAAATTAGCCTCATCTTCCCAGTAGAGAATTGCCTTAAGAAACTTCTAGGTACCATCAAGAAGTGCCTGACATGTTAGCTCTGAGATTTAGGTCCCATTGTGCTTTAGGTGTGAAGTAAAGTCTGAAAAGACTCTTCAGCAGTAAGAAAATATTTAATCACTTTAGCCAGAATTCTTAATCAATTCCCCAATTCCAAAACATGAACTTTCCTGGCAGCTTACATGGTATATGTGAGAAGACTGATGCTTACCTAAAGAACAGTTCCTGTTTAATTACTCCACACAACAAAGGTCAAGTTGCTTTGATTTATTTCTATTCCCCAAGTCCACATTACAAATCGCACATTTTAGACTTCAAGAAATGAAAGCAAAATAGCCAAATTCCACTTCATCAACAAGTGTCTATAAAAAGTATGGATCAAATGGAAACCAAGTAGCAAAGACCAAAATGTATATTTTTTCCACCTCACCAAAGTGTCTGGGGCAGGTTCACATAATGATTTATGGAAATAACCTGAACAGAAATAAATGCTAGTAGCCTAATGAGCTACACAGAAAAACACTTCAGTTATACTTCACTGGATGACCAGCCAATTACAAAGACAAGTATTTGCAAAAACAGGTGGGGATTTTTTTAAGGGGCCAGTTTTTTGAACCAAGACACATCACACAGCACATATTTTCAATCTCCCTCCAGGATTTCAGAGTAGTGAAATGTGTTGTTTCAGGAAAACAAAAAAAAAAAAACCAAACAAACAAACAAAAAAAAAAAAGAAGAACAATGTTACTGAACTTTATCATTCAACTTTTATACTTGGGCAAGTTGGCATTATCATTCAAAATAAAGTTGTACAGAACTTAGTTATAAACAAAGTTATCTAAAATATCAAGATATCAAGTAATCAATTAAGGCCCATTCCTGTCTTCAGTGGGATATCTGCCTGAGTAAGGAACGCAGGATATGGCCTTCTGTTTGAAGAAATCTCATTTTCTCCAGCACAAAGGTAACCAAGGAATCCCATTTCAGTTATTCTAGAGTTGCTCCTAACCTCCCAATTAAAATTAGCCAGTATGAAGCTCACCAAACACTTGATCCTCTTAAATAAACTCTCTAATGAACCACACAAATTCACACTAACAGTGAAGGCAGACTAACAGTGTATATCTTTTCTACAAAAAAAAATCCACCATAAAAAATAGCAATAATATCCAGATTTGTACTTGATTGTGAAATATTCCGATTGTACCATACAGTACATTTATTTGAAAAAAAAATCCTAATATGTTGGGTTGTCTTAATTTCTAACACTTGAAATGTTTCAGAAAACTGCAGAATCACTATACATATTGCACTTCTCTGGCAAGCTGGGCTACTGTATCATGGCAAAAACAACCAAGTAGATCTACTGAGGAATACAGCTTTTTTAAACCCAAAAATAGCAACTGACTTTCTTTCCTGCAGTTTTCATTAGAACTCTAACAATATTCTTTACAGGCTTTTCTAGGCATATGTTTCTGAAGGAATGCGTTTCTTGTTGCAGAATCTGTATTTATTTTTTTTTAAATCAACAAAACTGAAGGTAATGGACAGATTCAACATAGAGTGCACTATCTTCCTTCAGTCACAAACAAAATGAAGACAATACAAGTCATTAATACAGTTACACTTAGGCCTCGGGTTACTGTCGCTCTAAAAACAGTTCACTTCAACACAAATAAAACCAATAATGAACTATTTGTCTTGAGTGAAAAACATTAATCTTTTGCAGCTTGGTTTAAAGTTTGATTCCTTACACTGAAAAATCTTAGCACATTTGTTCCAGCGTCAGAGAAAATGATGTAGTTTTAGAGAAAAAGCTTTCAAAATGCTTGACACAAACAAGCTATTTATTCTTCGAGTTCTTTGTCAAAGATGTTACTAAAACCTTCTGTCCATTTCATGAACACAGGAAATATCCCAGGATGTCTTGAGTCAAAGTGGTCCATAAAGAAATTCTTTGGAATGCCTTAAGATTGGCTATAACTAGAGTTCTGGCTACCATTTGGACCCTGTTCTCCTTCACTGTTGAAGAAAACAAAAACATGTATCTTCAATAAGAAGCATCACATTACATTTTTATCTTTTTTTTAATTAAAAAATACAGTATTCTGAAAGTAATAAAAATCTTTGGAAAGAAAATACTTCAACATATACATAAATAGGTCAAAATATTCTGCTCAGTTTCATTAAAAAATGCAAAGGTTATTCTCAGCATGCATAAATAACTTCACCATATTTATGTGAATAATAAATTCAATATACACCCATGAAGCTGCCTGCTGAATCTGCTTCTGAAGTCAACACTGCAAAGTTCACATTACATGAGCATGTGCACAGGAATTTGCATGTGCAGATTCCCAGCAGTGATATTTAATCACAGTAATTAAATACGACATCAAGCAGGCCCAGTTCCATTGAACGTGGCCCAGCCATGGAGCCTCACACTGGGGTTCCTTACATTTGCTGAGCTGTATTGATCACATTCTAATCACATGAACACTCTCTCTAAGATAATGAATGTTATGCTTCCCACTAGCTCCTGAACAATCAGGCTGGTTTTGTACCAGAAACATCTGGGCTGTAAAAACATACACCACACCTTGAATTAAACATTTGCACATTCTTAAGATCACAGTGTAGTTTTTCCATGGGAAAGGTGCAATAAGGAAGTACCATACCTGTTTGGAGGTGGTTTTGGTTTAGGCATTTTACTAAGAATAGTAGCCATCTCTTTTCTCTCATCAAAGTTCTTCCACTGCTCATACAGCTTCAGAATAACCCTGATTATTTCTAAAATCTGTATTAGAAAGAGAAGAGAGCCTAAGGTCAGACACGACAGTGATTTTACCTTTGTCACAGCCTGTTTAATTAACTAAACAGGCCCTAAGCTGAAACTAAGCAACACAATTTTCATATTATAAGCAGAGCTGTCTCACACTTAATCTGGTCCCAAAAAAGCATTTAATTGGTTTTTTGATTAATTGTGAATCAAGGCCTGAACAGAATACTTTTCCTTCCAACTGTATTTACTGCTTCTCTTCCTCTGCAAACTAAGTACCTTTTTTAAATTTTATTTATTTATTTGCAAATACTGCCACAGCTCCTGGGATAACTAAGCTCCTGGGAAAATACAGACTTGGGCAGCATGACTGCAGCTATATGACCATCCATGATCAATACAGTAATTGATGATTATCAATGTTCTATACATATCAGAGGAACAGTGTGGGAAAACAAAAGCCCAAAACCACAAAACATTCATCTGAACTCTTTCCTTCCAAGGAACAGAGCCAAGGAGTTTTTAAATACTTCTCACATTCTTATATACATATAATAAGAATTGTTGACACTGCATATTCTGCTTCTGGAAGTGTAAGCATTCCATACCAGTTTGGACTTTCTATCTACCTTAAATTCCTTTAAATTTGTAGTACAATATTCTATATAAAAGCTGGTGCAATATTCTACGTGAAAGCTGGATAATAATTCATTCATAATATGTTTCATCATTCTCTAAATTAATAAAGTAGAATTTACTTTCTTTCTTCTTTTTAATACATGATCTTTCATTAAGTGCTAGAGCAATATATTTTGTCCTTGAAACCAAAGTCACAGCTGGTGCTTCACCATGTCCATGGTGTTAGTGTGAAAAAATCAAGCTTAGGCTTTATCACTGACACAAGTAAACATTCAAAGATACTCAGTATCAAGTTTATGGTAATTTTATCTATTAAATAGATGTTGGCTCTCCTTTGCTGCCAGTTTATTATCACCCTGCCCTTACATGTATGACAGCATAATTCACAGAGCTCTCCACACAGCATAGCATCCAAACTGTGTTTACATTTCAGAACAAATCCTGGAATACAAACACAATGCCATAACATCAGTGGGATAAAGGGCAATATGAAGGGAACAGAAGGAAATGGTACCTCTCAATCATAACAGGCTAGTTAATTCCAGACACTCAGTTTCAAAAAAAGACTGAAAAAAATATGTGCTAAGTGAAACAGTGTGATAAGGAATGTGAGTACTACTTTGATTTGCTTGCTGGAGCTAAACACAGGTTAAAGAAGCCAACCTAAAAAGTAAAAGAAACTAGTGAGGATGAAAAGCATTGTTAGTATAGGGACAACTGCACCCTGAAACCTAATAAATTAATGAATGGGATTATTTGACACAGAATTTGCATTAGCAGGGAACTCAACTGAATGATCTTGGTGTCTCCCTGTGTAGCACTGACTGAAGTCACAGTGCTGGGAATCCTGAAAGTGTCAAAAATGTTCTACACTAGGCTATACTCTGCACATGTACAGGGAGAAAATGAGAATGGTGCACTGGCATGATGCTGAAAAGTCAATCAGAAAATCACATGCACTTGAACTTAAAAGTCAAACTTGTACTGACAATCTTGCGTGACAGAAAAACACTGGGAACCCTTTTTCTGGCAAACAATGTAAAAGATACTTGGTTTATATTACTGTCTGGAAAATGGCAATACCAGCAATGCTCTTCTGTTATGCAATGGTTTTGTCCTGACTTTCAGAACAGGGTGATAACCAAATAACCTGATATTGTCTCCCTTCCAAAGAGATCTGCCTAACTGCAACAGCATCTAACAAGAGCACTGAATTTTAAGTTCAAATCAATATTGCAGATATATAAGACAACCATGACTACCATTTCTGGTCAGTCCATAACAAGTGAGGGGAATAAAAAACAGAGTACCTTTTCCATATCAACAGACAGCTCAGCAAACCATTGCCTTGCATCCTTCTGCTGGACAACACAGGCCACATGTAGGCAAGCTGCAAAGATCAGGTGACATGGATATTGAATAAAGATACACTCCCAATACAGTTAGAAACATTCCATTTTTTATAAACCCTATACAGTTCAACAAAGGAAACTCAGGATTAATTATCTGACTTTTCTTTAAGGCTTTTTAAGTTGCAAGGCTACAGTGTCAGTGCTGTATGAGACACAACCTGAAGCACCTTATGAGGGCACTCTGAGGAATGCTTGTGATGGGACACTGCACAGAATATATCCAGGTAAACATGACCAGGAGACATTACTTGTTACTTACCTAGAGCTATCATGAAAGGAGGGTACAGCAGACAAAGATCAGTTCTGTAGGTGTCATTCACTATCCTCCTGTGCAAAAAAGAACTTGTAAGTATCTTCCTATTCACCTTTAGACTATATTCCTTCAAAAACTGCTGTTGGTTTACAAATATTTTGTCAGTTTTCCAGACAGTCGAAGCAATGAGGCTGCAGGGCAAAATATCAAGGAAAGAGATCTTTTCCCTTGTAAAAATCTCTTAGCCTTTCTTTTTTTCCCTTATACTCACAGCAGAAGTTTATTTGGAAACATTCTTTTAGTACATAAATGTCTTTCTGCAGTGGATGTGTATGTACACCACCAAATAATTATCTGTTTCACAAATAAGTAAAGGCTAGCATAAAAGCAGTAGTTCTACTGTCTTTCTGTATTTGAAACAGTTGAAGAATGAGTTCTGCTAACAGAGCTAAAAAACCCTATATATTTGCTTCTACCTCTATTGTAAAGCAGGGCAACCCCCAACATCTGGGAGAAATGATGCATCTGACTCCATGGATATCAGAAGGCTAATTAATTACTTTATTATACTATATTATTCTATACTATATTACATTACATCTAAACTGAAGCACATCTGCACAAGCACTCACTCAACTGCCCAGAATCTTGTGACTGTCAGCTGACAATCCCCACACACACTTGGATTCAATTGGTCAATGAATCAATACACTCACACCCAGAATCCAATTATCAATTCTCTTCAGGTAAACAATCTTCCACAATGAATTCCACTTGTGAACAACAAGAGGAGCAGCAATTGAGATAAGAATTGTTTTTTCTTTCTCTGAGGCTGAGAGAATGTGAATCCCAGAAATATCCCTGGGAAGTTGTGCCTTGCTTTTCTCTGGGAAGAGAAATGCAGCTACAAACCTCCTATGACAATGCTGACAGAAAGAAACTTCCTCTACTCATAGTCACCATTCAGTAATGTTGAACTGTGCCATTAGAGCTAGTCTAACAAAATAAAAATTAGACCACTGCAAAGTAAAATCATTACAGGGCTAAAGAGAGAATAAGCTAATTCAGGGACATATACCTGCACAATTAACTAGGGCACCCTTTCTATTCAAATATGGCTAAGCCTGCTTGGTTCAGCAAAAGCTTAACCACCTTTGAAGCATAACTGTTAAACACTTGCTTTCTTGATGAAAGGAGGAACTATTCCCATTGTCTTCATTACCATGCAAGAGGTAGCAGCATGTCTTCTTGGCCCATATCTTGCACATATTGGAGCAAAGGTCTATAAGGATGATATACTATCAAACAGCAGTCCTAGGAAAAATGTCATGGGGACAGAAGTTAGATTTCAATTCAGAGCATGTTGTCAGTTCGGATTAAAACATTTGGTTTACAAGTCAATTACTGATTTTTTTTTAAGTAGCATTCTAACACCTAGCCCTGTTCTAATGAGGGCAGTGCTCTCTCTAGAATACCATTACACAGCACAGTTGCCAGTCTGTCAATGTCCTTCCCCTAAGAGACACAGAGAGTCACATCTGCAGCACACTGAAACCTCATTTGCTTACAAACCCGTAATTCCCACTTGGAAATACAAAACGCTGCCAGAAAACAGTCAGCTACTAAATACCATACATGGAGAGCATGCCAAAATCATTGATGCTGGTTTGGAAAGAAAAGAGAGAAAAATTCCACTGCTCTCAAATCCCCTCATTTCAGGTCCAGGTAAACAAGAAGGAATAATCCTCTTGCTAAAAGCAGCCAATTGTGTGGATACTACAGGGAAATGCCACATTAAGTTACATGTGCTGAACACTTACATGAAATACCATTACTGCACACACTATATACTGCATAGTATGCTGGAAAAATAAGTGAATCCCCAAAACATAACTTCTTGTAAATGCAATTGCTTGTGCTAAAACTCCTGTATACAAAACTCAAGAGTTACTGCCATGTATAGCAGAGGTATCAAGGGCTAAATCTAAACAGGAATCTAAAAACTGTATTAAAATTACTTGTAGGTACAAACAAAAACTTTGATCTGATTTCCTCTGTGTTCAATTCCCAAAACATTCTCTCATCTGCTGCTTAACTCACTAAGCTGCTCCCTGGTTTCTCACTCCTTTTCTCTGCACTTGAGCAGAACTACTCTAGTACAGTAGCACTAGAGTTCAGTGCTTAACCCATCCAAGTCCAAGCCATATGCAGAAATCAGGCACTACTTTATCCAAGCCCTGTAAGAAGCCTGGGTTGCCTCCTTTCAGGTACCAAACAGAGCAATGGCATAGCTACTCTTGCAAAAATCAGATATGGCTCCTTTCTTTGAAAGGGTCTGGAAGAAAATGTCCCACTGTGCTCCCTTCATCCAACAGCCTAATAGTTACAGCACCACCTCAGAAAATGGGAGACCTGAATTCGGTTTCTTTCTCACAGGATTCAAACCAACATCTCACTTCCTAGAAGATTACTCTAATTATTGGGTTGCTATAGACTAGCCTGAATGGGATAGTACCCACACCTTCTGCTAGAACATATATATGTAGCCCCAGATTCTTTCAGGCATAAAGAAGAGGGCATGGTAAGAATACAACTCTTCATGGTCATAACTGGCCATTCCATCTAGGGAAAAGGACATTGACATCCCATCTCTGCATCAGGACTTAGATACAGTTACTTCTCTCACAAAAACAAAAGCAGTTCCACCAAAAAACCCAACCTACCATTAATTCTAAGAGATAGAATTCACATTCTAGTATCTGTAAAGAAGCAAAATCACAGTTAATAAGCAGTATGTTTCAGGCAGCAGAAAGAATTAACTGACATGCAGTTTAACATCATAAATACACAGGAATTCTCAACAACTATTTCCAACATTCTTAAATGCATTTTATCTGAAACTACAAAACCAAACAAAAATAAAGCTATTATTAGCTATTGCCTTATCACTATTATAACTCAACTCCAGTCATAACAACAAACAAGTTGAATATTTTGCATCAAGTTTGCTATGAAAGACTGCTTCATTGGCAGCACTTGCCTGATTTGTTTCAACACCTGGTAGCAGCAAATTGTTCTCAGTGCATAAGAACTTCATAGCAATAGAAAAGTTGTTTTGTAGAATTAGAGTGTCTTCATCAGCTCACTAACTTGTCAAATAGCCTTTCAAAACATTTTCAGATTTAATTTCATGTGAAATATTCTGTGCAATTTTAACAATTAAATCAGCTCTCACTCTCAATACAGAATGTGATGTATTGGTGACATGAAGGAAAAGACTGGACTACTTTTGCTATATGAAAGCAGTACTCCAAAATGTATTTCCATTTGCCTTTATCTATAAAATAGCAGTGCAGTTTTATTATAAGATCTTAGGTATTTTATATTCTGATGCATCATTTGGCTTTCTAGACTGGGTGAAAAGCAAACCAACAAAAAAAGTAATATTTGTTACAGCCAATCTAAAACTATTGAGATGTTTAGCTTTCCAAATTCTACAGCACAGGTCAAAATTCGTTTTAAGAAAAACTACAAAACCTCTCAGTATTGTGACTGAGAATACCTTGAAAACCACTGGTAAATTTAAAGTACTAATTAAAAACTATTTTTCAAGAGCCATTAAATTTTACAGGCAAAAATAAAACTGCTTTCTGGAAGCCAACTGCTCATGTGTGCAAGCTTGGAAGCATTCCAGGTGCAAAGGCCATTTACTTTCCCTGGAGCAATGTATTTGTAACAAAGAACATTCAAAAAAACCTAAATCTCTTTTCTTATCATGCTATAGAAAAACTACCATTTCAGTCACCCTATCACATCACTTGTCTTTCCTGACAACAATTTAAGGAAAGAAGGTTATGTAAGATTTTTATTATTTTTAAAAGTAACTTTCCCAATATTCTATACAAAACAAATAATTAATAAACCTGACATATGAGTATGAAAATATTTCTTTCTTAGTATTTAAAAGAAAGAATTTCATGCTAGCATTTATTAATTTATTTGATCAAGTTGTATTTCAAATAGCATACTTACATGGTTCATCCTATAAGGAAACTCCTTTGGAAAGGCATATGAAAACCTAGTTTTCACTACAGTAAACAGAAAAAAGTATGTTAAAAATAATGTAATTAATACTTTTACATCCTTCCCATTCTATTTATTCATCTGTATATAGCCCTACAAATCTACCTGGCAGCACAACTTTCAGCTTGTGGCTTTCTGTACAAAAGGCTTGTATTTCAAAGAGAAGAGGTAAGTTACAAGATTTAAGATCCTGAAAAGGAAAGAGAAATACACCTGAAATCCAGATTTGCACAGATACTCAGCCAGACATTTGACTGCTGCTTTGGACACTATTAAGTCTTCTGGTTAACCACCAACTAGCTCAGGGACAGCTAACTTCCCACAAGTTATCACTCACAGAGCTCTCCAGCTACTGATGTTCAGTTTAGTATGAACACTAAATCCAAATGGAATTTTCATGTGGGATTTTTTACATAGGTTTGATCCTTCAACAGGCAAGATTTTAAAGGAACTAATGAAGTCTTAGAAAAGCAAGCCCAAGGGCAGGGTAAGGGAGTTCAGCCAGACTTCCTGCAGGTCCAGAATGTAAGGATTATCTCCAATTGAGATATTTAATTAATCTTTGTGTATTTTACACTGGTAAGAAGCATGCTAATATGCAAAACCAGAGTGATTTCATGTTAGAATGCTGAACAAGGGAAAACAAGAACACTTGAAGATGTGGATTTGACTTTTGTACACATAAAACATTTAAAAAGCTATTTTAAGTCCTTGTCATCCAAGGAAAACAAGTAACATTTAACATCCTGGAAGTGGACAGTATTTCTTATATTAATGACAGGCAGTATATTATTAAATGAAACTATTGCTATTACTTCCAGAAAATCAGTATGACATTTCAGTTCAAAGAAAAGACAGCATCAGTCCTCTGGACCAAAGAATTCACCATTTAGACCTAGGGTGAACTTCACTAGAAAATTTTTTGTAGGACACCAAGACTGGGCTACTGGTTGGAAATTTTAATTACTTCAAGAAAGAAAAGAATTAATAAGAGAGTTTCTCAAGATGTATGCAAACTGAAGATGTACATGGTAAAAAAAAATACCAATTTGAGAAAGAAGATAGGGAGAAAAAGCATTTTATCCACAAAGCAAGCTGCAGACACAACCACTACATGGAGCTGTCATTTTAGGGAGATGTGTTAACAGAAGAAAAACCTTTTGAAGAGGTTGTTGAAAACCAGGCTAAGACCATCTTCCTTACAAAGGAAGCAAGTGTTATTAACTTCATGTTGCTGCTGAGCTAAAAGCAAACAAGCCTCTTAAACCAGCCACTACTACATTAGTCAGCCCCTTTGTTAGCTTGATTTTGCTTTTACTTGTCTTGCCTCATCTTTTCTTGCCTTTGGTATTAAGATCTCCCAAAAACCACTGTGTACTACTGAAGCAACTCTGGTAAAGGAAGACCAGGTAGAATAAAAGAATAAATGCTTGGAGAAAGCCTGTTGCCTGCCCCCACCTCCATGAAATGCACAGTACTTATCAGGGCTGACAGGACTTCTAGGTGTGAAGGAAGATCTGTGAGGAAAATCTTCTATAGGGTCCTGAGACTGGAATTCTGAGAAACAGCACAGCTAAGAACTAGACGTCCAAGTAAAATCAGCTGAAGCACATTTACCAAAATCCATCTAACAGTCTCACTTATGCATCAGAACTTCCTCACAATGATGCTTCTGATGTAAAAATAGCAACTCTCAGTGCTAAACCCAGTACTGGTCTTGGTCATGCTGGCACCGAAGCTGTGTTTCAGCTCCTGGTGGCAGAACTGTCACACGGCCAGCCCCATGGACTGATACACCCTGTGCATCTGGAGGCTGCAGATGCAGCCAGTCACCTGTCCCCTCAATGCCTGACCTACATTTGGAAGAGCACAGCCAGGAATTGCCCACTGAGAGCAGCTGGACCTTCTGGGTCAGATAACAGCGTTTAGCTAAGGAAGACATCACTTCAAGAGTTTGATGGATGACATGTAAGTTACATGAATTGGGAAATACAAAGGCAAGTGGGAAAGATAGAGGATTAAGTAATTACAGTGTAATTTTATTGAATTTATTGTGAATAATTGGTCATAAAATGTATTTTTAGAAATAAATACCATGTGCAAAGACTAATTTTTTGATGGGGAAAAAAGGATTTAAAAAAATCTGAAGGTATACAGCCTACCAAAAATTCTTAAAACAGGTACTTTCACAGAGCCATACCTTTTACTAAACAGGCAAAGATGTAAATTTCCAATTCTATCTTTGAGTAGTTCAGAATTCAATTTACTACTCGAGGTTGTTTATAAATTTCAATAGTTTTATTTTATGACTTCATTTTCACTCATGCTTGGCATGAGTTCCACCCATAATCAACCAAAACTAATACAGAATGGACCCTTCTGCCTCTGTATTTGGACACAGAAGCTATTTATTCTTAATGGTTTTAACTGGCTCTTTAAGTCCTCCATGATTTGACAAAAAGCTACCTTTTAAAAAAAAGCAAAGAAACCAACTGATCTCCCTACAGAGATACTTAGAGTGTAATGAAAATTACTGATACTTACATACAGAAGTAGCAGCAGAAATCAATCTTGTATTTGAAACAACACCAAATTCCTGAAGAAAAAGAATGGTAAATGAGGTGAACCACCTGAAACACCGTACACTGACATTGTTATCAAATTAAAATAATGGCTTCTTACTAAACTGGGCTTCTTTTTGCAGTATTGTAGTGTTTGGGTTTTTCCCCCACCCCTTTTTTTTTTTTCTTAAGGTAAACAGGGCTAAAGTTATTTCATTGATTAGTTTCTTGGTTGTTTGTGAGGAACAGTAAAGATTTATGAAAGGTACAAAAGCACCAAAAGCTCAACTGGCTACCATTCTTTTTATAAAATAGAGAAGAGGGCTTCAAGGAGGTTATTCTTTTCCTTATCCCATTTGGAGAGAAAACTGTCTTTAGAAGCCTGCCATTAACTACCCTTTTCAGTTATGTTTTTGTGAAGTCTTAGCTCCTGTGCTGAGACAGTCAGCAATCTGAAAATTTTCTGTATAGAGTGTTCTTTCAGAGAAGTCCATAGCTGAATCAATAGTGCTGCCCTCTAAAGCTGCAGAAGCTTTAGGAAGGCTACACAGACTTCTAATTTAAGGTACATCCATGTATATACACTCTATGTCTGTGCCTGCTTAAATGCTCATTTAACAGGCTGATAAAAAAGCACTCTCTCCCACACTGTCTCTTTTCCTTGATGTCTTCCAAACACTGAAGAGTGTCACAGTACTTGTACAGACAACAGTATCACATGTCACCACTAGTTTAGTAGGACTGTTTCTACCATCCATTAAGTATTTGAGCTCCTTCTGTAGAACTCTTTAGTGCTGACATATCATAAAGTGCCAAATTTGACTTTTTTTCCATTACACAGACACTTCTTAAACAGCTGTAAACTTGCTGCATTACAGAGGACTAACAGCAGCACCCAGCTGATGCTAACTCTTGGCCACGTTCAAAGGGGAGCACCGATGTTGAAGGCATGGAGCCCTCTCACCATCACCCCCAATGGGTCAGTTCCTTATAATTTCTCAAGGACAGAGCATGAGCTACAACATACTTTTAATCCAAGTAATGAAAGTGTGGTAAACTCTGAGGATCCCTTGCTATATGAAATAGAACAAGATAATTAGGGGAAAAAATTCCCATTATGTTTTAAAGTTTGAGTAAACATAAATAAGGAGAAACACACCAGAAAGGAGACACTGCTTAAGATAGACACAATTTAAGATATAGTGTATGTAAATATTTAAACACTGTGTGACAGTGAAACAGCCATTTAAAATATTTTTTTCAGTTTTCAGAGGCACTTCAAGGTTAATAATTTAGACAACTTTTGAAGGCCTTCTCTGTCTCCTTTTCTTAAATGCTATAGAAATCTATGCAAAAAGGAGACGGTTTCAACCCCCAAAGCACGAAGAAAGACAAAAAAATTTGAAAGTCCTAAACGTTTTCTTTCTCTCATACATCACATAATGTTACATTAAAAAATTGTAATACTTCATACCTCTACTTTGGATGCCAAAAACACACACGTAGGAGCCATTAATACTGGATCTATACTTTTTAGGGAATATCTGAAATGTTACAACAAAATTATAATATGTTGTTTCATACATGTAGAACGATTAATCTATTAAGAGCACCACACTTCCTTTTGAAAAAGCAAAGCTTAAGTTAACTTTATTAAAGCATAAAAGCTTTACACCATCCAAAAAACAAAAGTGGCACTGTTTTTAATACAGAACTGCATTTTTAAAGGGCTACCAAAATGTGCCTAGCAAATGTTTTATTCTTGTACCATCATAGTAAACAGTCCTACCTGGCATAGAATCTCTTGAAGTAGACTGTAGCAGTGGCAATAACTTGTTGTCTTAATTTAAGATGTTCACCTAAAGCCTGGATAACTTAAAAAAAAATGAACAAAAGCTTGAGTTGAGTTTTTTTAAACAATTTGACACCAAATAGCAAAGGGTCTCAAAACACAGCTAGTGCTGGGGATTCTAAGGAGCAGCACCACAGTCTTCTCCCTCTGTGGCTCTAGAGAGACAACACACTGCTGTAAACCTACGGACCTGCAGGTGAAGAACCGCTGCCTCCTGAAGCTTGGGGACACCTTCAAAAAGGAAAAGGAACTTTGATTCATTGTGTACAAAGCAAGTGTGACCTTTAAGAAGATGACAGCACAAATCTCAGAAGGGTAAAGCTCAGGTATTCCATTTTAGAGCAAAACATATTCAGCCACAGGAAATATAAATCCTCAGCTCTTCAGTGCCACACAAAATGGATGGTATTTTTTCAAATATGTAAAACTGCCAACACAGACATGGTCATTAAATTTGGCAGAGGCAGCAGGTGTTAAAAAAATGACATATTTAGTCTAGGGAGAGGGGGTGGGAGACCAGAGGATGCAGTCAGCTGCTCCATCACGGTGGTCCTCTGCCAGTTGGCCAAGAAACAACCCTGGTGTCATCTGTGCAGGTAGCTCTTGTTTGGCCTCCCAGGCAAAGGAAAGGTGCCAAGCAAATTAGATGCATCAAGCTGGGATTAAGAGCAGGGGTTGGATGTAAAGAATGGCACAGTGAAACATAAGGTTGTTACTTGTTATTTTTCCCATACTTCTGCGCCACCATTATTCTGAGAACGGCTCGGCTCTGTGAAGACTCCCTCTTCTTTTTTCCTCCCTCATGAGAAACGTCAAAAACAATATTTTAAAATACACTTAAGTAGATATTTAAAATATGTACAGCAAGACCAAGACAGTGACCACTGGTGGGAAAAGCAAACAATTCTGTTGTCAATCACCACTAAATTCTTAGTCTCTAAGTTGAGAGACTCTCTAACACTCAAGTTGAGAGATTTTTGCCCATGCTCTTATCACATATCCCCTGTGAACAGCCAGGGTACACATTTGTCACCCACTGGCAAGGCCCAAAGCAACACTAAATCCCTGCCTGTGTCATATCATTCTTTTTCTAGAGAAGAATACCAAATTTGGACTAGTTTGACAGTGACAGTAGGACAAGCAATACTTCCAAAAAGGGTGTTAACCCAGTATGCAATGTCTGTACAAATATTAAACATTTGATCAGCATATCTTGGGAGCTTGGAAAGAATTTTTGCCTTTAATTTGACCATGGGGCTAAAAAGCTGTCCTACTACTAGGGCATCAGAAAAATTCAAATATTAGGCTAAACAGAATTCTCCAAATATGTCTCATACTCCCATGGGACTTTCAGGAATGGTTAGGCCATCTGCTGTCAGAGAAAAATCAAGTGTGGTTTAGAAGAAAAAAATGGACAAGAGCCTAGAGAGACTTAATGAAATGGAAGCTTGTATACGCCGGGGAAAAGTCCAATGCTTGTAATTATTTTAATATTTGAAAATATTAAAATTTGAAAAGAAACTATAAGATCATTTATTCCTGTATGTTTAGAAAGTAAGCAGTTTCAGTAGTTTGGAGTTTTTTAATAAAGGCTGTTTTAAATCTGAGTATTTTGAGTACCCTCTAACACAAACATTACTGCTTCTGCCCAAAACCAAAAAGGGAAAATAACTAATACACTTCTCAACCAAAACCAGTTAAGGCTTGGTGATCCAAACAGAGAAATCAACATCAGTTTATTTTTTCAAACTACTTTAGAAGATGATCTTTTTCCTTCTCTTCATAGCTGCAGGGAGCCATACAATCAGTTGGTGATCTACTGCACTTGTTTTCCAATGAGAAAGCAGCAGGAAATTGCCCCTCTCCATGCAGATTTTAATTGCTTTAGGGAACAACCATCTCCTGGGCTGACACACACTGAATGTGACATGCTGGGGCTGGGCCTCATCTGCTCTCAGGTAGTGCAGATGGAAGACAAGGGGGGACCCAAAGCAGGGTCCCTGTTCAGAGGCAGCGAGGACACAACACATTGAGGGTTTGAACACGGCCAGCTCTGCCTGAGCACAGAGCAGCCCTGCCCTCTGCCCTGCCCTCTTTGCTAGAGAGGGGCAGAAAGCCCAGCACCACTCACTCCTGCAGAGTAGGCTGTGTTTGTACAGGCACAGGGGAGATCCTGGCAGAGCTGCTCCCCAGCTGCCCCCAGTCACTGACCTACCTTCAGGGGAGGCAAGCAGTGCCAAGGAAAAGGACCCTGGGAACCACAAACCATAACTAACAAACTAACTTGTTTACTTTTTAAAGCTTTGCTTACCCAAGAAAAACAAATGAAGTGAAACATTTAAAAAGCTTATTTCACAGTTCAAATTAATACTAGTGAAAATTAGCATAGAAATACAGTTTTAGAAATATCCATAACCCTCCTTTCATCTATTTTTGTATTATGAAGTTATGACTTGGTTTTAACCCCAAGAAATTTCAGGAATGGATCAAATGGGTAAATCATTGCTAGCTTGATTTCCTGATGCCCTATAAGCAATAACACAGAGGTATCCATAGTGATCATGCTTATAGCATATGCAATTGTTACAAAAATAGCTGAGCTAAGAGAGAAGCAATGGTATCTTTCAGAGATACCATTCCAGCACTGACATAAGATCTTCCAGAGGCTCTGGGAAAGTCACTTCATTTCTCTGTCACAAGTCTGGCCAGATAGCTGAAAAAAATAAGCATTCTGTACTTTAAAGGACTGCTGCAAAGAAGAGCTACTTGCAAAGAAGTTACTAGTTAGCAATATCCTTTGCATAAGGAGATTTGTTTTAAATATTGAACAATTGCAGAGAAAATTTTAAGTGCCTTTGTAATCTGATATACTCAGGTATGGCCATTCATATGGATACCTAATGCTTTGCGACATCAAGTGAATCAGACAACTTCACACACAAGTCCCAAATTCTTTGGGAGAACAGGCTGCTTGCCAACAGCTCTCAGAAACTTGTTGACAATTTGAGAGCCACCTGGTACTGGGAAATCAGTCAGAAGACAAAACATGGGCTGTGTTGCAGGTTTCAGAGAATCTAAATGAACACAAATAACAAGTTTCCAAACTCTGCTGTTTAACAGGATGGCACAGGTCACCTAAAATATTTACCCCACCCTAAGAACCCCCCAAAAGCCCAGGCTGAGTACTAATGCTTGACATTGAGCCTTTAATACACTAGCTTAGAAGTTTCTGCTTGCTTCTACTCCTTTTATGTTTTGATAAGAACCTCTTGAAAATAAGAAAATTTACTGTTTCATCCTATCACAGGTTAAAATGTCATATATGCAGCTAATTAGCCTGCAAGGTCTCCTAAAATTGTGTTAGTACAACTAACAAATTATTTATACTCCACGTCTTTGTTAAAATAGGCTGTGAAAGTATATGTAATACAACAATGAAAACATTTCATTCTCTAAGCAATTCAAACCTCCATTTAGACACGGCACACATTGCACAGATTTTATGGCAGAAATAAAAAAAAAAAGCTTTACCATTAGTAAAAAATATCTGTAGCTTCCAATATTCTTCTTCAGTCAGAAATTTCAAGTCTTTCTGGCGTTCTTTCAATAGATCTTGTTTATCCAAAATCCATTGTAAACTAGAGGAATGGAAAATAATTTCAGCAACTCTTTTATCAACATTATACTAAGTACCTCCTGTACAAACAGACTACGAATTAAGGCTCGGGGATAAAGAGCTTGTGGCCTTTAACACCGCCACAAACAATCTTCTCAAGCAACTGTTCTTCAGGATTTTTGAAAGTTAGACAACTGAAAACAAAGCAACAAAAAGCTCAGAAACCAAACAACAAAACATGAACTACCACGGGCTGAGATCAGCCCCTACCAGTAAGATGGCTGTACGGATCTCAGACCCCGGCAGTCACTAACAGGGTTTATGTTGCAGCCATTTCATTACGGGCACTATTCAAACCTTGACCATGCGCTCAGCATGAAGTGTTCCAGGGCAGAATCACAGAATCAATCAGGTCGGAAAAGACCTCTGAGATCCATGACCGAACACCACCCCGTCAACTACACCAAGTGCCACGTCCAATCTTTCCTTAAATACCTCCAGGGACGGTGACTCCACCGCCTCCCTGGGCAGCCCGTCCCAGTATCAATCCAATACCAACTTCCTGATGTCCATCCCAGCCGAGGCCCGGCTGCCCCACCACTGGGGACCGGCGTGTCAGAGACCTGAGCTCCCGCACTCCCCCGCCGGAGCCCGGGGTGCCGCGGGCAGCCACACCGGGACACGATCCCTGTCCCGGAGCGCCCAAACGCTTCCCGAGCGGCGGCTGAGCGGGGCTGGCCCGGGCTGTTCCCGCACCCAGCCCGGCTCCCGCCAGGGTCCCGCGGCGAGCAGGCCCCACCGCCCGCCCGGCGCTCCCGGGCCTCCCGTCAGCGCCGTGCCCGCCGCCCGGCCCGGCAATGAATGGCCAGAGCGCGGCGGCGGCCCGCAGCACCCGTGCCCCGCGCCCCGCGGCCGCGGCACCCACTAGTGAGAGCTCTGCCAGAAGTTCCCGGCCATGGGAAGGAGCGGAGCGGAGCGGGGAGGAGGCGCCCGGGCCCGCGATGCCCCGGCCCCGCCGCCACAGCGCCGCCGCCCCCGCGCCGGCAGCAGGAAGGAGGAGGCGGCCGCCGCCGCCGCCGGCCGGCAACACGCGGCACTGGGAACCGTTCCCCCGCGCGCGGGTTCCGCCCGCCCCGCCGGGCCCCGCAGCCCCGCCGGCTGCCACAGGGACACGGAGACCGCGATGGGCCCCGAGGGAGGCACCTTCCCAACCACCCGGTCCTGCCCCCGCCGTGTGCACGGACACCTTCCACTAGGCCAGGTTGCTTAGCGCACCGTCCAACACGGGCTTGGGCACCGCCAGGGATGGGGCAGGCACAGCTGCTCTGGGCAGCCTGTTCAGTGCCTCACCACCTTCACATGGAGAGAATTCCATCCCTATTTCCAGTCCAAATCTGCCCTCTGTCAGTACAAAACTGGCTGCTTCTCCCAATAAGCAGCTTCTCCCTACTGTAAGCAGCCAGGAAGATCCAGAGCTTATCTTGTGCTGTCTCTACCTCATCCAAATTTCCCTTTAACTTACCTGTTCCCAAGTTTTCATGGCTCAGCTTGCCCCGTGCTGGAATTTTCCTCATCAGAGAGAGCCTCTAAAGGCATTTACTTAATAATTCTAGATTTAATTTAAACTACAGTCAGGAAGTACATGGGCCTGCTTTCTTTCCATGCTCTTTCCTGTGGTGCCTCTCAGCTTCTTAGTGGGATCTGAGATGTATCAACACGGGTATTGATGTATCAATATCATGCACTTGAAAACTTGGGAACAGGGAAGTTAAAGGGGAATTTAGATTCTATTTAGGAATGATGAAGCAGAGAGGGAAGATGCACAGAGGGTAAAGTGGTGTCATGATTTAGAAATTATATTTTCAAGTGTTGTGTTCACAGTGAAACTACTCCAGACCTCACATGACTCACGCACTTCCCTGTCCCCTTGTCCCCTCGTCTTCCCCCCAGCCAACTTCCCCGGGGGTGGCTGGAGAGCAGAACTGGAGGCACAAAAGGTAAAGACCATGGACTGAGAGGAGAACAATTTACTGGAAACAGCAACGAGATAAGAAATGAACTGTAGCAGCAGCAACACTAATGACGGAGTGTAGGAGAAAACAAAAGTCACTCACCCTGTGGAAACCCCCATCAATGCCCAACCACTCCCTCTGCAGTGCTATCCCAGCCTGCAAGCCAGCCTTTTTCCTGCCCTGTCCCTGGAAAATGACATGAGATGGCATAGAATAACCTCTAGGTCCTGGCCCTGACCCTTGTGGCTACAGCAGAAATTAAGCCTGTCCTGGCTGGAACCAGGACAGATGGAGCCAGTGGTGTTTCTAAATGCCTTTGCTGGCAGAATGAGACACTGTTCTGGCATGCCAGAGAGACTCTAGGTTTCATACCCTATTTATACATAGGAATGTGGAGGAGGGAGGTAGAGAAAAAAATATTTTGTAAACCTTTTACCTTTCCTTTCTCAGTGCAAGGAGACACAATGGAAACCACAGGTTGGGTTTGTGAGGAGTCTGTGGGGGCTCTCTGACTTGACACCTTTCTCTAGAAAATATCCAGACTTTGCAGGGTATGGGAAAAGGAACTTACTCTGCTGTGTCGATGTCACAAAGAGGTGAACCAAATTGCCAGCAAATGCCCTGGATCACAGCCACCCACAACCACAACCACATCACACACAGCATAGCACAGCACCAAGGAATCAGCAGAGAGAGAGACAGAGGCTGCTGTAAAACAGAGAAGCTTGTCATCACCTCACTGAACATACTTAAGCAACCAAAATAGCAGCAAACCTCAGGCTTCTGGTAATCACATCAAGTGAGCATCTCTGGTTTTTTCACCATCTTTCTCTACATGACCCTGGACTTTCTCTTGCTCTGATTTAGTACCTGTGTTTTGTTCCCTCATGGTGGTGATTTGTGCTTCTGCACAGTCAACAGCTGGATGAATATGAGACATCTGTGTACCCAGGTGGACAAGAAGGCTGATGGCATCCTGGCCTATATCAGAAATAGTGTGGCCAGCAGGACCAGGGCAGTGATGATCCCTGGAGAGGGCAGTATTCAGCACTGGAGAGGGTGCACCTCAAGTGCTATGTCCAGTTCTGGGACACTGAGATGCTGCAACTTATCCAAAGAAGAGCAACAGAGCTGGTTAAGGGTCTAGAGCACAAGTCTTATGAGGGACAGCTGAGGGAGCTGGAGTTGTTTTGCCAGGCAAAAGGAGGCTCAGGGAAGACCTTATCACTCTACAGCTTCACTGAAAGGAGGTTGTAGCAAGGTGGTGTCAGTTTCTTCTCCCAAAAAACAAGAGATAGAACAAGAGAAAATGGCCTCAAGTTGCAGCAGGGAATTTTTAGATAAGCTTTCTTTACCAAAAGCGTTGTCAAGTGTTGGAACAGGCTTCCCAGGGAAGCTATCTCTTACTTACTATCTCTAGAGGTACTTAAAAGATAAGGGGATGTGGCAAATGGACACATGGTTTGGTGGTGGACTTGGCAGTGCTGGGTTGACTTGATGATCTCAAAGATCTTTTCCAACTTCAACAATTCTATGATTTTACACTGCAGTATGGCAAGAAATAATTAGTAGGGACTGGGCAGGATATTTACCATAGCTATGATAAATGCCATTGCTGCACTCCACACTGGGCATAGGAAACAGCTCTGCTGGCTCTCTATCTGGCACCACAGGGGCTGTCTAATACTGCTGGAATGGGAGCACTTGGCTCTGCAGCCTCTTCCCAGCTCCACTCCCAGAGTGTCTCATTCCCAGCAGGACAGACCTCAAATTGCATGAACCCATTTCACAGCACTGCAGCAGACCACACCAGTTCCAGAGCTATGGAGAGGGAAACTCTCCCTGCTCCACAGACCTAAAACCAGAGATAAAGACTCCTTGGGGTACATATTGCCCTGCAACGGGACGCTCTGCCATGCTGGAGATCCTCCCTGCAGAATGGCACCCGGGGGGCTCCCAGTGCTTTAGGGGGGTCATTCTCAGCCCTGCAGCATCCCTTGAGCAAATAGGCAAAGGTTCCTCTAGACTCGGCCATGCTGGGGATGCCCATTGCCAGGCCAGCAGGCCAGCAGCTGGTGTGGACCCACAGTGCAGAAGGGCTGATGGCCATGGGTGGATGCCACTGTGACTCCATCTCCCTGGAAGCCCAGCTGGGAGATGCTTTCTTGGGCAGGGGCATGACAGGGGGCAGACAGGACAGAGCTTTTTCCCCTTGACATTGCTTTTGAACCTTTCTTTTCCAGGAGCTGTGTGGAGGATCGCTTTATTTACCATGTCCTCTGCGTGTGTGTGTCAAAACAAGCAGACGAAGATTTCATGAAACAGATGTTCAGTGCTGCTGTGTGTGCTGATGTCTCCTGCTCAGCCTCAGACCTGGCTGCTGCTCTGAGGGACATCCAGATATAGGATGAAAAAATCGCAGCCAAGAACCTGCAGGTAAAATTATACTTTGTCATATTTGTGAGATGAAATTATCTGTCAGCTCTTGCTGATCTCTTCCCCCTCTGCCCCCCTAATAAAAAGCATCACAAACATATTGAATATACTTAGCAGTCCGTTGCTAGATATAAATATACACCAGATAGTTGGATAGATTTTTTTTTTCCCCCCAAAATATGTTTCTTCCAATCCACATCTTATAAATAGCATAATAAATAGGATGATACATGGTCAGTTTTTTGTTCATGTGTCCTCCCCCACAATTGGAAATACAATATTTTCTTTATCTCTTTCCCTTGGATGCACACAAAAACAGTCTTTGCTGATACTCTCAGGTTTTTCACATGTTTACATATTCATCTAATAACTGAAAACAGTACATATCTTTTCACAGATCTGACAATAAGCATTCTTGTTTGCCCTCTGCTGTTTAATATCCCCTCAGGAAATGAATGAGTGGTACGAAACCAGATTTACTGACTTTAATCAAGCTTCCACAAAACATGCTGAGAATGTGAGACATTTCAGGGAAGGAACAGGGAAAAGAAGTGTGAGTGGAATTGAAAACCCCTTCCAGCTTATGTTATGTCACTTCTAATGGAAGCCTTTGTTATGATTTCACTAAGTGAGGTAATGTGACAGTTGTCCGATATTTTTCCCAATAATGGTGGTCTTTTAGGCTATATTTTGCAACAAGCAAGGTGGATTGGAGGAGTGGTGACCCTGGATGTGACTCCATGTGTCAAACCAGCAGCAAGTAGCCACAAATAATATTTATACATATGAAATGAAAGTTCAGCTGCTCAGTAATGCATGTATCTGAACATAAGGGTCCTGTTGTTTTGAATGAAAGTGTCAGGGGAAAGGGATTTATATGGGAGAATTTTTTATTTGAAGCACCATCACAGACACTTCCACTTCCACACAAAAAGCAGACTCCTGCAGAAGCAACCATTTAGTATTTTACATCAAAGACATTCAGGATAATTTCATTTGATGGGGGAAAGACCTTAGAATAATGAGGGTTTGGTTTACAGCATGAGGATAAATAACAAGGGACAGAAGTGTTATTAAAACCATCAGCTCTGTTGTGAGAACCTCTTGATGAGGATAGATGGTTCAGCCACCTCCTACTATCTTTGCTTAAAATAATTTTTAAAAATCAGCATTCCCACATAGTAGCCTGTTATTTCAAAGGGTTTTCCTTTCTGGGTCACAGACGCTGGCATTTAACCCCACCTCCTCTCAGTAAAACATGCAACAGGAACCTATGCAGGATGGAGTATCATATCAATGTTGTGTTGTTTTGATTTTTTTTCCTCCTCTGATCAGCTTGAAATGATTTTTTTCCTCCTCTGGTCATCCTCCACTCCGAATTTTAGGCTTTCTATGCAGGGAGTAGCCTGTGGGTCTGGATCCTGAGCAGCTCACCCTGCCCAGGCTGAGATGGTTACTCAGGCTGTCCTTCAAACCCTGGGAGTTACACAGACCCCCATTCACATGGGACATGTCCTCCATCAGGGAGGGCTTTGCCTA